GGAGGCGCCCAGTGTCTGTTATAAGCCTTTGGGCTTAGGAGTACATGGCAACCATTGGGTCCTTGCTGACTGCAACCTTTCAAGTGCCTTGTTCTTCTCTGCAGCATTTTCTGTCTTGTTTCACTGATGTGTCTTTGTTTCCAGCAAATTTGTTCTCATCTGTGCCCTTCCCTTCTGTCTGCTTGCCTTTTCCAGCTCCACAGCACCCAGGTGTGGTGTTGCCTCTGTACAGCATCTAGATGTGTGGTGAACTCAATGCTGAAACAACAGCCTCTTGTCCTGGGCATGGGACCCTGCAGTCCTCCTTTCTCCATTTTCTGCCAAATCAAGTTTGTCTAATTATCAGTGCTAATTCCCTCTTTTTCTACTCATACCTCTCCTGCAATCTTGCTTCTTTCTCTAGACTGTGCCATTTTCCTCCATTGAAGCATCCAACTGTGGGGCTACTGTGGTCATCAACCCTTCTGTGGTCATCTTGGGTATGACTCAAGTTACCTCCTTTCCTTACTCTTGCTCCTCCATTTCCTTCTCCACTCAGATTGTTATTACTTTCCCTTCCCTTATACTCCTCCATTCTGTTCTCCTTGACTTGGTAAAGCTCCAGTTGGTAAACAGCCCGGTTTTCCATCTCTCCGCCTCTATCCTTACCCCTTAGCCCTAATAAATGATTTTTTTCCTTCCTTCTCCTAATGCTCTTTTCTTCAGTTTGGCTGTATGGGACTCATCAGATCCAATTAGTGTTCTAATTCAGCAATCATCTGGTGATTTGAGGGCTGAAGGATAAGCTTTTTGGAGCCAGTTTCTCTTTCCAAATTCCAGGTCACTTGGAGCAGCCAGCTTCAACCCCAGTGGCCAGGGTTGCCCCAGTGCTACTGGAACCTGGGAAAGCTGAATCCCTTAAATTGGTGGAGATCTCACCAACGCAGTTAATGAAGTCTAGAGAGCTGCTCAGTGATGTTCAGGTGGCATCATCTACCAACCGATGTCCACCTTGCTTGCTGGACTCCTAATATTCCTATGTATTTTATAAGACATCCCTGTCAAAATTAAGTGGAATAACTTCTTGAACTGCTGATATGTTTACTGTTCTAGAACTGGTTTAAGAGGTGTAGGGTTAGGCCTTTACCAAACGGCTCAGTCGTTGCCATCTTCAGGCATTCAGGGGACATCTTCAAAAATCTATAATAGTCATAAAGGAAAAAAAAAAAAAAGCAGGTTTTTTTTTTTTTTTCAAAAATTCCTGTGCTTTTAAAATTCATGTCTTGGTGGACATGAGGTCAGAACTTTTTGGGACAGGAAGGAAAAGAAAAGGAAACAGAAATCTTGGTGTAGTATTACATGGTTACTCTGTGTCGGTGTCTGATAGTACGGCTTCAAGTACAGCAACACTGCAAACTCTGTCCTTCTGCTGAGATAACGTTGTTGATGCTGAAAACAAAATTGGAAGCAAAACAAATAGCAGGAATTCTTGGCATTTGAAGAAGAGGAAGGGAGGGAGGAAGGGCAGGGTATTGCTGGAGGCATAGCAGAGCCCTGAGTAAGGTTGCTCTCCTGTTGACGGTGTTTGGCCCCGGTTTCGTGTTGCGGGATGTTAGCAGCAGTCACGGTGTAAGGTGTCCCCTGGCTTCTCAGGATGCTCTGTCAGCCAGATCGAGGAAGTGCTCTGGAGAAAGAAGCCTCAAAAAAAAATAGGCAACTTGGAAAAGCTGGATTTCTTCCCTAATCTGAGTCACAGCACAGGAACATCCCAACCCAGTACTGCACTGAAACTGGTACTGCAAATCCATGCCCAGAGCTCCCAGCTGCAAGGACTGGAGCACTGGTCTTGCCAGAGTTGAGACATCACCAGTTGTAGATATCTTCATCGGAGCTGCATCCCCGGACTCCTTTGATAGTCACCAGGGATGAGCGGGCACTGGTGGGGACATTTTGCATGAGCACCTGTAAATGTCTGTCTTGGGAGGAAAAGAAAAACCTTTAAAAAGACTCATTTCTTTCCTCTGGGCTGCAAAGGGAGCCAGAAGGACAAGAGGGAGCAGCCTCAAGATGCGCCAGGGGAGGTTCAGACTGAATATAAGGAAAAATTTCTTCATTGAAAAGGTTATCAAGCACTGGAACAGTTTGTCCAGGGGAGTGCTTGACTCACCATTCCTGGAGGTATTTAAAAGATGTGCAGATGTGGCACTTAGGACCATGGTTTAGTGATTGACTTGGCAGTGTTAGTTTACAGTTGTAGTCAATGGTTTTAAAGGTCTTTTCCAACCTAAATGATTTGATCATTCTGCCACATTTGGTGTGATGAATTCCACCTGACTATCTGTTACGTGTTTGTGCAGCACTAGTGTTGTAGATCCCAGATCTGTGACTCAGGCTGTAGGCAGGGTGATGATAATAATATTCCTGCAGTTGTTTTCTAAGTGATGAATTTGCCTTGATAGTCAGTGTTCTTTAGCCAGCCCCTAGGAATTAAACTCATTAAGCTCCCCTTGTTGATGGCCCTTTTGCTTATGGTGGTCTGAGACTGAGGAGTACCTGCTCATTGTTGGATGCTCTCCTTGACCTGTTTACCCTCATCCCACTTCATGACCCGCGGGAAAGAGTTCACAGATTGGCTAAAGCAATTTCAAAACTGTAAAAAACAAACCCTCATTAGTTTCCTAAATCTAGTCTTCATGTTGGGAATTTGGGAGATTGGATTTAAATCTATAGCAACATTTAATTTCATATTCACAGTGGGGTAGTTGCTGTAAGTGGAGGAGCGAGTTCATCTGCAGCAGCAAATTGAATCTGAAAGTAAAATGCTTTTATTACCAGTAGCCTCACAGCAGTGTCTCTCCCAGGCTCGGCTGCATCTTTTCTGTTTCAAAAGCTGCTGCTCTTCCACTTCATGGTCAAATCCTTCCATCAGACCTGCAAGCATGGACTGGAAACAGAACAAAATTTGTCATCTACACACGTGAACTGTATCCAGGCTATAAATGCCCAAAATCCATAGGACAGCATCAACAAAGCCATTCCTAAGACTGTCTCAGCTTTATTCTTAAAGCCATCCATTTTAGACTACTCTACAGTTTCTGGAAGCATTCAGCTTTTGCGAATACGCATCCCAGAACTTGGAAAATGTAAAAAAATAATTCAGTCAGTCATTTTTGAGGGAGAAGAAAGGTAAGACAAAACCCTCATTCTTGCTTCAACTAAGAACCACCATGGCTCTCTTGGGCTCAGAGCTAAGAGTCACGGTGGCAGAGGAGGGGAGGAAGGGCTCTTGTTGGTGTCCTCGTGAAAGCCTTGTGGGGCTCTGGAAATGCTCTGTGAGTTTTGAAAACCAGAACTCTGCTTATGCAGGGCTTACCCAGCAGTTGTGCTTCTCAACATCATTCTCTCAGCCTCCAAGAAGACGAGATGCACTGCGGATGCATGTATAATATAGCATATAATATAGCAGATTGCAAAATATGTTCTCCCGTGCTTTTCTTTTCTTTTTTTTTTTTTTTTTTTTTTTGCCCCCAAATCACTTTTTGCTGGCGGGTTTTTGGTTTTGGGTGTTTTTTTTTTTTTTTTTAAACTAGATTTCTAAATATCATCAGAGATTTGAGGCAATCAGACCCAGAAAACTAATACCTTGACTTTGCATAACTCAACTGCTGAAGTTGCTATGTTATGGATGTCTTATATAATGAACTGCTAGGAAAGACTTAAATTCCATGAGGTTATAAATTCCTTTTGTTTTTAAATC